TAATATTGTATAACAATGTTTCTTGAAAGTGGTATTAAATATTTACAAATAAATTTAGTTAATTTAAAAATTAATCTATTTATAAGTATAATTTAAAGAATTAATTAGAAGTACAATATATTTTCATGGAGCGAGATTGTCTTAAACTATACTCCATCCCTCCTGCGAATTTGGTCTATTTTTTATTTACACTATTTGACTAAGGTTTTTTTAATGAAATTTGACTCAATAGGACATTAAATTGGTGTTGGATTAAATATTAAAAATTTCATATTTAAATTACATCAATTTTTTTACAAAATAAGAGTTAACTAGCTAGCAAAGGATAGTGAAAATATGTAATGAAAGTATGTCTAGTTTGACCATATATATAGTGAATGAGACAAAAATAGTACGATGAAGGAGACATACTACATTGAACTTTTAAAATTATGTTACGCTTAAGAAAAAGATTGGACCACAATGGGATATTGGAGTATCTAATATATACGGAGTTTCATACATTTGGATGTACGGTATTTCATGTATATCCGCACGAATGCTCGTTGTCAAATAACTAAGTACTCATTTTTGAATAACAGTATACTCATTTTTGAGTTACCAAATGCTCATTTTCGAGCATAACTAAATTTTAGAAAAATAAGTATTCAGTTACTCGGAAATGAGCATTTAGTTACTTGTAAATGAGCACTCGCCATGTATGTATGGGAATATTGTACCTAAATCTAACTTTTCTAACTCCCATTCCTATCTAAATTAGTTAATTTTTCGGATATTTATGAATTGAATTTCGATAAATAATTGTTCGTTTGTGTTTTCCTCCAAATAATTAAGGTAATTATATTTTTTATCCGAATGCAGTCATTGGTGTGTGTGTGTGTTGGATGTAGAATAAAGAATTAAATATTACCCACATCCCAAAAATCTATTATGACTGACTTTTAGAAAGTTTAAGAAAAGTATTAAAGTGTTATAAGGGAACGGAGTATTATTTTTTGGAACGACCCATAATAAACAAAATGGAAAAGAAAAAAATAGATTATTTATGTAAATTTTGCCTTTAAATTAAGATTGATTAAAATTATTGCTTCGTAAGTCCTATTATTTTTATTATATGGGTTAACAAAATTCAAATTACAGAAAAAAACTACGTACGTATATTATTGATATTGATTTGAAAAGTGTAAGAAAAAGAAATAATGAGTGTGAGTAAAAAAAATCACTAAATACAACTTGAAACACAAATAGTGTCATGGAGAAACATAAAAAAAGAGAAAAAGAAAGAGAAAAAAAGAAATAGATGAAGCATAAATTATGTTAATAAAAATATAAAATTTTAAAAATATACATTGATATTTTTTTAATCTTTTTTCCAACATTGTTTAGTTTTTTCAACTCAAATTATTTTCCAAATTCTTTTATTTTCTTGTAACTCTTTCTAGTGTCTAACTCTTTCTAATTTAATTTTTTTCAAACCTATTCAAGTTTGTTCAAACTCCTCTGTTTTTTTCAACATTCAAATTTGTTTTTAGACTGTTTGGCAATAGCGTGGTAGCGCAGCCACCGTTATCGTTCTAAAAAATAATCTACACGATTATAATTTTATCCGCTAATAAAGAATGTTGTTTTCAAACAAACTAACCATTTATTTGGAAGAGGAAATATAAGAATGGAAAGAAAATAAAGGATGAAAAAATATTAATATTACTCCAAAAAAGGAGTGAGTGGATATAATGTGTTTGGAAAGGTGAAAGAAAATAAGGATGGATGGAAATACTATATCTATTTATTAACCTTTACTACATTTCCCCCGAGACGAAAGTTTAAATGAATTTATTTTTCTCTAATACTAAAATATCTAAAATCCAAAAAAATCTTGTAGAGTCTTTATTGAATACACTCCTCTTAATAAAGAAATAAAATAAATTTATTTTTCTCTAATCCTAAAGTATCTAAACAAGAAGGAAAATGATTTTATTTTCTTTTCTCAAATTTTCTACTCTTATTTTCTTTTTCTTCATGAAAAAATTATCCACATAGTGGTAAAATCTAAATAATTCAAAAGAACAAAGCTTTTTGGAAGGTGTTTACAAACTGCGAGTTCCATGAAATAGTGGAAGTCATTGTCCCAATTCCAATCTATCTTCTACTCCCCTGTGCAAGTTCATTTGATTTTGAAGTAAAAATTTTAATGTCAAATAGAAGAGCAGTTTGACTTCTATAACCACTAAAATAGAGTTTGGGAGAATGCTAAAGAGGCACCACGTGTGCCTCCAAGCATGCCACCCAATATATTTAATTTTTTTTTCAATTTTCCTTTTTTCTTAGTCTTTTCTTCTCCCACCTTCTTCTTCAAAATTCCCAAATCTCCCTTCTCCCACTTCAACCTCCACAAGCGACAGAATTCGGACAACTCCAATTCCACGTCCTTCTTCTCCGTCGAGAGCATAGCAGCGTCGGCAGCCCCACCCCTCCAGCTCCAGCGCGCCCACCCCTCCAGCTCCAGCGCCGGCAGCCCCACCCCTCCAGCTCCAGCGCCGGCAGCCCCACCCCTCCGAACAGGTACTGACGCTAACTTCCCTTTCCTTTGTCTCTTTCTTGATCTCTCTGTTTCTAAAATTGATATAAACCCTAGGGGGGTTCAGATCTTGGATCTTATTCTACATTGGAATTTTAGCATCTTTAGTAAATACTCCGTAGTAATTAATGATTTTCGGACAATTCCGAAGTATCAAAGACCATATGCCTTAACCCTGGTTTAAAAAGTAATAATCATGGGCAGTTCAAGGATCCAGTTTATGATATACTCAAGTATTTACTTCTTTTTTAAAAAAAAAATTGATTTGTGTGAAATATGTTTCGTGAAATATTTGAACTTCATATAAGATTATTGTCTGTGAAATATGTTTCGTGATTTGCAAAAAAAAAGAAGGTAATATATTCACTGAGTTTTAACCTCTGTGAGTTTACATAATACATACAGTCACTGTCTGGGAATATACATGGTTTCTGCTCTTGTTTGTACACAGGATTCTGATGCTCTGTTAGAATTCAGAGACAGAAGAGATAAAGGAGGGGAGGTGCTGAGGAAGATGATGAGGAGTCAGAACAAAGATGATGTGTTTTATTTATGAAGTTGAATTTAGGGGTCTTTTATTTTTGTGAATTGTATCTCATAGACGATTAACTTCTGTTTATTGAACTTCATATAACATTATTGTTTGTGAAAGAGGTTTGCTTGTTATTTTAATACTATTTTCCCTTGCAGGTATGGCAATTGTGGAGTGATGGTGCTAGCATTTCTAGAGTATTTGTTGCTAGCCTTACCATTAAGCCCGGATTACAGTTCTGAACACATGGCTGATTTCTGATGTCAATTTGCAGCTAGGTTATGGCGTGGAAGGAAAACACCCAATATTTAGCATTTTTACTTTACAATTTTAGGGTTCTTTAATTTTTGTGAAACTCTTTGTAATGGTTTATGTGCTTTGTAATGTATTTTTTGGGGAAACACTTTAGGCTTTTATGAAAGCTTTGTAATGGGGCTTTTATAATCATGAATTTGTACTTGTTAATGCACAATGTGTTAATGTATGTGATGACTCATTTACATTAGTTTATGACCGATTTACGTTCTTTTACTTTCAGAGCCCTCACAGAGAATAACTGTCTATTTTACCCATTTCACAGAGATTTAATGTATGTGACGACAGAGTTACATAACTTTATGTACATACACCATCTTCAGAATCTTATCACATATGTGGGGGTCTTGTAAAGGTAAAAAGAAACTTAAAACGCATACATTAGATTTCAGCGAGCTCACATGGAATAACTGTATATTTCACACACTTCACAGAGACTTAATGTATGTGAAGACATAGTTACATCAGGTTTACATCAGTTTATGTGCATGGAACACTTCACATCTGTGTTCTGTCTGATCTCACCACTCGCCTGTTCTTGCCCTTCGTCGTTAAATAAATATTGAAAGCAAGGATCATTAAGAAACAAATCTGGTTCAAAAGCTGCAAAAAAATAGCACCTTTAATATAAGGACCATGCTAGGGTGCCACCACATGGGTGCACCCATGCTTCGCACAGACAAACACAGACGATAATTATCTGTGCGACACAGACAATTATCGTCTGTGTTTGTCTGTGCGAAGCATGGGTGCACCCATGTGGTGGCACCCTAGCATTTTCCTTAATATAATACAATGCCTGACTATGAAGAAAACAAAAATACACCAAATGCAGAGTGCATACAGATTATTAGCATATGTGACAAAGACAAACCCTAGGTTCACAGAACTTTAATCTTTGTAAGACCAAAACAAAACAGTATTTTTTCACTACTTCAAATGAATATAGAATGAGGTCTAAATATCAACACTTACAACTGGCCTGAAAGTCATATAAAACCAGATCTTCTTCTTTACCACCAAAATCATGTGGTTGATCATTCTCAACATGTGTAACAATACATGCTTGTAAGTCCATAATCACCAAAAAATGTATAACACAAAAATTCAAAAAATTATAACACAAAAATTCAAAAAATTATATCACAAAAATTGTGGGGGCTGGGTTGGGACTGGATTGTGTATTGACTAGGGGCTATGGGGGAGGGGGCTGGGGTGGTTCCGCTGTTGCGAGAGGGGGGTAGCCGGCGGTGGTGGTGGCTGGTCGGCCGCGAAGGAAGAGGATGGGTCGGCGGCTAAGGAGAGATCGACGGCGAAGGGTAACTGGCCGGCGAGAACAGACCGGCGAAGGGGGGTGGGGTGAGGGACTGGGAACAAGGTCGTAGAGGAAAGAAAAAAGAAAAAAAAGAAAGAGAAAAGATAAAAAAAAAGCTTAAATAAGGAGGTAGGGCGGGTGCACTATGGTCCTAAGTAAGTTAGAGTGGCCATCAAACATGTTCCGTTTACAAAATGATGCCAGGCCACTTTCTCATCAAGGTTCGAACTCTCGGAAAGTGAAAGACAATCTCCCATGGACGATGTCGATCGATTGTATGAATGCTTCAAATGCGGCTTGTCTCCTCCGCGTAATCTCTTTTCTGATATTTGTTTTTCGTAGATTTTGTCATATTTTCACTCTCTGTTTCTTCTCCGCGTAATGTCTTGCTAAAACCATCATAGATTAAAACGTAGGAGTGATAATTCAGTGTGTTCTGACATTTTTGCTAGAAATTGAAGATAGTAGCATTTCTTTATGCCTGATATCCAATCAAGTGTGCTATTTTGGGTTCATACAGATAACAATGTCCACAAAATTGGAAAATATATGCCAAAGTTGATGTTTCAGAAAGCGCTATGTTGTCTTATTCTTAACACAGATTGAAAACTCTGATCTTTGATTTATTTCTTAGAATCTGCGATCAGAGAAAGAAAAAGGGGAAATAGAACATTGAAACGGGTAGGTTCAGCATACGCCCAATCAGCTGAAAAAAATTCCATGAGCACAGCAGATGCGGATCACTCTCTTGAAGATGTATGTACTGCTTTCGATCTTTTCTTATATTATGTACGTAAGCAGTTAAGCTGCAATCTGACCTCCCGTACTTCATTTTATATACGGTACAATATTGTTGTCTCTAATTTGCCACAGTGCAGTTGATGGTACTAGTAATTAGTGCGTGATTATTCTCAGTCCAGTTCATCAAAAGCAAAGAGAAATAGCAATCGGAAGCAGTTCTCTCCCCTTGTGTTTTATAGGTCTCCACATGGGGTTCCTCCAAAGAGACCAGCTAGTTTGTTGCGCTTGTTGCAAGAAATACATGTAGATCTCAGAGAACAAAACAAGCATAGGTAGATGTGCACTTATTAGAGTGTCACTTGACACATATTATTATCTTTTAGTGGCGAGTTTAAGGATGTTGCATTTTGGACTTCTTTCATTAATGCTGCAACTCATTCTCACTTACTGTTTGATGTTTATGCAGACAAGAAGTATGGGCCACTTTCCCTAAGCAGGATGAAGCAGTCAAGCATGCAAAACAGTTCATGAATGCTCGTGTTTTTAGTTATCAGGATCATTTAAATGGCCAAAGAAGGTTTCTTGTTTCCACATATGAGGACTTTTGGAGAAGGTGCATTCTCAGATATTAATCCATCTCAAAATCCAGTCAGTATGTACTATATGTCCATCCCCTCCTAAGGTTGATTATCCTTTTAATCTTATTCTCCTATTTAGGTATAAAAATATGAATTCTAAGAGGCACCATTATGAAGTCATTCAGGAGGTAAGGACTTTTTCTGTTTTCTTCTAATGGTAGAACAATTGTATTCCATGCTAATATGATTGGTCTACTATTTATATTACATTAATACTTTTAAGTACTTGAAGTCAATTTAGTCCATTTTGAAGGCATTGGATGCATGACAATTTCACATTCCCAGGGCTTGCCATGCCACCTTTATTTTGATTTGGAGTTCAATAAGAGAGCAAATGAAGATAAGAATGGAGATGAAATGGTTGATCTCTTGGTCATGGCTGTATTTGATACCCTGCTGGAAAAGTATTCTCTTGAAGGAAGTCATGACTGGATTGTTGAGCTTGATTCTTCTACTGAAGGTATGGAGAGAGTTGCTAAGGACTGAGCCAGAGATTTACATAAATCATGCCACTGTATTCCTCTTATAATATCAAATTCTTTATATTATTTTGATATTATAAACATTTGTAGCAGATAAGTTCTCCCGACATTTAATCATTAGAATACCAAAGGCTGCATTTAAGGACAACTCTCATGTTGGGGCATTTGTTACTGAGGTATGCTAATCTCTCTGGCATGACACCGATGTTTTGTTTCCTTCTTATTAAGTTCTTGTTAATCATGGGTTTGTATTTTGTAATACTTCGAAGTTGGATAGTGCCATACATCTACTTGGTCTGTAATTGTTAGCAAATGATTTTTAAAATCATTTTTACATTCCAAAAATATCTACTAAAGAACTGAGGCTTTCGGTTTTCCGATTTGAGCAACTGGAGTGACAATCATTTTCTATGAGACGTTGTCAGATATGTTCACGTATATTTACTTCAAATGAGATGGATGAGAGATTCAAAAAGCTCTTTGTCTTTAAAGATTCAAAATCAGTTGGAATTCCAAGTCAGATCTTTGTGGATACTGCTGTCTACTCTAGAAACCGCTGCTTTCGCCTAGCTCTCTCATCTAAATCCGGGAAGACTTCTGTCCTTCTACCAAGTGGGCGCTTTAAATGTGAGGACATGGTATGAAACCAATTTTTATTTACCAAAATTCCAGCTCTAATGCTGACCTTGTCCCAATTGCATTCCATATGATTTAAATTTTGTTTTTTGGGTTATTGTTGCTGCATGGGGTGTCTTCTCCTTTTTCGTGATACTCAATGTTAGCTGAGCCCTGCATTTCACATGTAAATGTTTATTTAAATGTAAGTCGTTTTCACTACATGGCAGAGTGAAGAAGAAATGTTTATGGCATCACTGATTTGCAATATGGATGCTGACTGTGAGAAACTTTTGGTTTGTAAAATGGATTCAGATTTTGTCAAGACCCTGCATTTTGATACAGAGGTACTTATTGACTTCTCTCTTGTAGCAATCTTGTAAAATTAGATTTTTGAAATTTTTCATATTCATAATGATATATTTGGTGTGTTGTTCCTGTTAGCCCCATTCTCCTATTTTATGAAAACAATTTGCTTACAAGTTGTTATGCATTGAAAGTCATACCTAAATTATGATTTCTTTCACAGACTACAGAAAATTTCCAACAAGACTTCATTCCCCATGCATCTGTGTTGAATAGTTTTGAAGGTGATCCTTCAAGAGCATACTTGATGGGAAAGTCGCCATTCACAGCTTTAGATGCATTCATTGTGTATATTGCCTCCATAGGAAGTGTACCAGGTAAAAAGATTAACACCTAACTTTCATGTTAGAACAGATATATGAGGGAAAATTAGAACTGCATCTGTTTTTTTTCAATACAACGTGTAGCAAAATAAAAGGTCCCTTATATTTTTGGACAGATAGTTAATTTTCTAAAAAGTGTCGATGGCTGTGCCTAGTTCTTATATCTTTGTTGCTGAGTCTAATATATTTATTGAATCCTTACATACTACTATTCCCTACATTGTCTTGTTAGGAAAAGTTAGGAGTTGGTATTGGTTCTCAGAGTATGGGTTGATGGTGTACAACATGTCAAAAAACAGATATTGTGAAAGGATCCAGAGAGAACACAAAAGCAATCATGGTAATATTTTGTTTGGTTTCTCTTTAGTATACACACTACACACATTGTGCTCGCCATGACATAATTTCCCCTTGATTTCATGTGAGCAATGTGAATTTGCGATTAAAAATTATTTGTGTATTCCATAAAATTGATAGCTTTTTACTATGGACCCATTCTAGGAAACACAATATCAAAGGCATTGGAAGCCGAACAGGCCAGCTTGGTGCCTTGGGTCGGGTGTCTTTCCTTCTTTAAAATAAGTCCTACTTTAATTCCACTCGCCTTAGTTATGTTTTAGTATTCTTTATATTTTGGTTATTGCTTTTACGAAGTCGAGTTGCATTAGGATTCCCTCCTATTTATACTAAGACGATTAATGTTAATTTTCATCGTTCATCTCCAATTCATTTATCAATTGTAACGGAAATTTGAACCCTATGTGATTGATTTAGCAATCCAAGGTTAGAGAGAGAGAGAGAGTGTGTGTGTGTGCGTGTGTGAAGCTGAGAGAAAGAAAACTTATAGATTGATTTCAGGGAAAAATCAACATGTCCCCCTCCCATGGAGCTGGGGAAGGGTGTACGAATAATTACTACGTAATTCTTTAACAATGAAAACTAAACTACGACTAGTTTGGGTATTCCAATTGTTTTGCTAGTGCTATCTATTGAGTGGGTTTGGATGTACCGGCAACACTTAAAGTTTAATACTGTTTGTTAACATCAAGGGCAACACATTTTAGGAGCTAAATCACTTTTTAGTTCGGGAGAAACAAATCGTATTTGCAGTTGATGTTTATATCGATCGATCATGAAATAATTTTTTTATTTGTTCTGATTGGATTAATAATCCTTCCGATTCATTTTAAAATTCTTCTCAGGCATAAGGAAATGTGGCGCAGCTTTTTAATTAAAATGATGTTTTGGATGTGTATTCATAGCCAAAGGTAATGGGAGCTAACGAAAATAAAAAACTTGATGTTGGGAAAAATTAGTAACCTCCCAGGCTCCCAGCACACTAATTGATGTTGAAACTGGAATTTTCTTTAACCCAGAGAGAAGTGGATTGCCGGCATGGCCCAAAAGGCAATGGACTTCAAATGGTGATTCAAATCCGAAAAAGGTAGCATTCTTCAGGATAGAAGTGTCAAGGGTGTAGACTCCACAAGACTTGTGTACTTCAAAAAATGTCACACAATGGGCACAAGTTCGCTCACATAGACTAAATTGAATGAGAATTTTGTTACACTTAGAAGTTAGAACAGATGATGATAACATTGATGCACCTGAGTACTTATGAGATAGACCCATTAGCAAGAGTAACATGGGTACTGGAGTAGTTGTGTTACAGGCGGAAAATTGGTCGGGATTACTTGTCATATGATTGGTTGCTCCAGTGTCAATGACCCACATGGAATAAGAGGAAGCACATGTATATGAATTATTGCACGTCTTATGCAAAACAAACAAAGTTTTTTTTGCACCGTAAACACATAATCTTTATTACCGAAACATCCAAAGTTCACTGTACATTGTTTCAAACTCTAACAAACTATTACAATATCTTCCTAAAAGAAAAATAGCTTTTGATATGGAAAATAGCTTGCCCAGCTACATCTTCAGCTTTCCTTTTCTTTTGGTGTATTGCTTCATTCCTTGCCTTCCAAATACAATAGATACATGCTGCCCATATAGCTAATCCAGTTCTCCTATCCTTCACCTTCTTTATTCTCTGAATTTCTTCACCAACCTCTTCAAAAGAACAAGGCATGATTCTTAAATTAAGTTCTTGCCATACAATCCTATACATCTCTTGTGCATATCCACAATCCCAAAACAAGTGTTGTTTGGTTTCAGATTCTTCCTCACAAAGCACACAACATCGGTTGATTTTCATATATCTGATAATCCTGTCCTTTGTCTGCAGCCTTCCCCTCCACAAAAGGCATACTATGATTTAAGCTTTAGGTGGTGTTAATCTATTCCATACCCACTCCCTCCAAATAGGGGTTGTTTGTTCCCCTTGTAGCCATCGGTAACCTGTGCTGATCTCAAATGGTTTATTATGGGGCATATTTAAAAACTTCTTTCTTACCTTAACCATTTCCTTCCAATAGTGATAGGAATCAGGTTTGGGCATATAATTCCACACATCACCTCCTTTAATGCATCTAGTGTGCATCCACTTTACCCATAATACATCTTTCTTCTCAGCTATATCTCAGTTTAATCTCATGATGGCAGCATAGTTCCAGTATAGGACATTCTTTATCCCCAGCCCACCATGTTTCTTCATTTTGCATACATCATCCCAGTGGACTAAAGGGACCTTCTTATACTCACAGACCCCTCCCCATAGGAAATTTCTACACAAAGCCATAATTCTTTTCATAACTCCTTTAGGTAGGATGAAAATTCGAATCTAGAAATTAATCACCCCCATCAAAACAGAATTAATTAATTTGATCCTTGCAGCATATGAGAAGTGCCTAGATCCCCAAGCTGTTATTTTTGAAGTCAGCTTGGTGATCAGGGCATCACAATTCTTGATTCTCAATCTGGCAGTGGTTATTGGGCTTCCCAAATATGTAAATGGGAACTTACCAAGTTTGATGTTTAAAATCCCCAGCAGCTCATCCTGCCTAGCTTGATTAATACCTCCAAATACAGCTTGGGACTTTGCCTTATTAATCTTCAAACCAGTAGTGTTGTGAAAGTCCTCGAGTACCTTGTTAACACATTTGATTGAGTCTACATCTGCTTTACACACCATAATCAAATCATCTGCAAAAGTAATATTTATAATTCTCTGACTGGCACACATGGGATGTAAGAAAAATTCTCTTTTTGGGCAGCCACCCTTAAACTTCTAGTTAGATACTCCATTACCAGCACAAAGATTAGAGGCGATATTGGGTCACCCTGTCTCAGACCTTTTCCACCTCTAAAGTATCCATGATGTTCCCCGTTGACATTTAACATATAGGTTGGAGTGGATATGCAGAACATGATCCATTTAATGAACTTTTCTAGAAATTTTATACATACTAGGATCTCCCTTATGGCTTTCCAACTCACAGAATCATATGCTTTTTGAATATCCAACTTCATCATACAACGAGGTGAAATCCCTTTTCTGTTGTACCCTTTTGCCATTTCCTGATAGAGAAGAAGATTATGCAGTAGCTCCCTCCCTTTGATAAATGCTGATTGGTTAGGATCCACAATATGAGACAGCACAGTTTTCAATCTCATACATAATAGTTTGGAGATCACCTTGTAGATTGTATTGCAACAGGAAGTAGGTCTGTAGTATGAAGGCTTCACTGGGGTGGCCACCTTTGGGATAAGAGTAATGCATGTAGCATTAATTTGTTTCAGTGTAGTCCCATCCTTGAAAAAGTCCAGAACTGCTCTTGTTGTTAGTTCCCCTACCACTGTCCATTGCTCTTTAAAGAAACCACTGTTATATCCATCAGGGCCTGGGCTTTTGTTACTAGGAATAGAAAACATAGCCTTTTTAACTTGCTCAGGGCTAAAATCTCTTATCAAATCCAGCTGTTGCCCAACACTCAAACTCTTTCCTACTGCCATAATGTTTCTATCAATGTCCATAGTATGCACTTGTGTTCCTAGCAAATTGTTAAAGTGTTTTTCTAAAACATCTGCAACATCATCAGTACCTTCAACTTCCTTCCCATCTTCTCTTTGAATAGCCATTATATAGTTGTTCAGCTGTCTCTTTTTAGCCCAAGCATAAAATGGCCTAGAATTTGCATCTCCTTCTGTGAGCCATTCCTGCTTAATCTGCTGACATTTCAGCTGGTGAGAAGCCTTAATGGCATTATTCAGCTCCAGTAGCAGCTCTTCCCCCTTCACTATCAAAGTCTGATTTGTGTGATCCTGCTTCTGCAAGTCCTTCGGTCAGTAATTTCTCTCTTAGCCAGTCCACTTTCTGGTGTATCAATTTGAACTTTTCCCTGTGCAACATTCTAAGTGGAGCTTTGAGAAGCCTCATGTTTTGTACAAGTTGAAACATACTCCTTTGTTTACTCTCCTTAACCCAGTAAGTTTTCAATAGATTTGAGAACTTTGGGGCTGTCATCCACATATTACAGAACCTAAAGTATTTTGTCCTCTTCTGCAGATTGCAATCCTTGATTAATAGAGGTGTATGATCAGACACTCCTTGAATCACCTTAGTCTTGGTATTGTGTTTATTGAGCCACTCAACATTCACTAAGACTCTGTCCAGTTTGGACAGAATTCTGTGTGATCCTTCCTGTTTATTTGACCATGTAAAATGAGGACCTTCCTGTGGCAGTTCCTCAAGCCCACATTCCATAACACATTCCTTAAAATCTTTCATGTCTGCTTCCATTATTGGATCACCACCCTTTCTATCATCCACACTGCGGACACTATTAAAGTCCCCAATACAACACCATGCCTCATTTATTAGTCTGGAATACTCTCTCAGCTTGTTCCATAGTAGTTTCCTCCCTTCATTATCATTAAATGCATAGATAATAGTAATATAATCATAATTATTACTATCTATGGTTCTGACTTTAATATGTATAAGTTGTGCTGTGTTATCCATCACTTGAACCACCATTTTACTATCATTCCACATTAGCCAGATCCTTCCCAATGGGTGGTGATCAATGTTTGTGTAGCATTTCCACTTATTCATCAACTTATTCTTCACCTCTTCATCTTTATCTTTTTTTTTATTTTTGTTTCCAGGATACCAATCAAGTTAACTTTATATCTGTTAACAATACTCTTTATTTCCCACTATTTGATTGGGCTATTCAGCCCTCTTATATTCCAGCATATGATCATTGCAAAAAAGGATAGTGTCCTTCATATGGAGCATCCCTCCAGTTCTCCTTTTGCAGCCTTAACTCCTCAATTGTTAGCCTTCTTGCAGCCTTTTTCCCACTTACCAATTGAAAATCAGATTCCTCATCTGTCTCATTGTTATGGACATCCTCGCTTGTTCTTTCTTCTTTCTAGTCCGCTTCTTCTTCTAGAGGGTCATCCTTCTTGTCTTCTTCCTTACTGAGATGACTTTTTGGTCTCCATTCCATTTTAGTGTGATTTTCCACTTGCCTTTCATTCTTCTTCATGCATCACCCACATGTCCCATGCATCCACACTTTGAACAGATTGCAGGTTTCCATTCATAGACCACCTTTTGGTCTATTACTCTGTCTTCCTTATCTATAAAATGTATAACCTCAGGGAACTCTTGCTGCACCTGGACCTCTATCTGTATCCTGGCATAGCTCCACTTTGCTTTTGCAGCTGTTGCCCTATCTCTCTTAATAGGTTTGCCTGCCTATTATGCTCCCCAGTTTTCCCAAGCGAGACAGGCTCCAGTACTTCATATCCAGACCTGGCAGCTGAACCCATATTGGAATATCATTCAATTCCAGCAGGTTGATGTTCAGTCCTGGTTTCCATTTCTTTACAAGCATAGGTTTGTTATCAAAATAATAGTAATTTCTCTTAGCCACCTCATCCCTTTCCTCTTCCTTTTGAAATCTAACAATATATTGTCCTTTCTTATGAAATGATACATCTTCTACCACATACTCTTTCCATATTCTCGCTAAGAAACCCTTTACTATTTCTAGGGGAGGATTTGCTCCTAGAATACAGCATAATAACGACTTATCCCAGATACCATCAACATTAATATCATCTGTTTCGGTAATTCGAGCAATTTTTTGACCATTCAATTCCCCGAACTGGTAAAATGATAAATCTGTCTGTACCTCATGAGATTCAGAACTTCGGCATATGATTTCCTTCGAAATTCAGGTTCCTTCTCGCTATCCTCCTTCCGATCAGTTCCTTGATTTATTTCAGATCCACTTCCGTCTGGAGTTTTGAGACCATCCTTCTTAGTTGAATCGCCTCCTTTTGGCGTATTTGTTACACTATCAGAGATGTGCACAGCAATTGGATCTACGTTCTTCCTTGCACGTCCTTTCTTCTTCGCCATGGTAGAGAGAGAGAGAGAGCGTCAAAACACAAAGTTATGTCAGTTGTACAACTGTGATTCCTACAAGAAAGAGAGTTCTACCTCTCTACATCTATGAAGTGCAACCGTAGAAAGTTTTAGTGTGTAAGACTGTATGTTATTGAATGAATACTGTAATATCAATTTCCTAGGCTTTTCATTTTGTAATTTTACAGCTGAAACTTAAACGAAAAATAGCATGTTACGGAGTATTATTAAGTATGTTACAACTATCACCTGTTGTTTTCATCCTTGCAAACTCGTGCTGCTACACAGGGAAACACAAGGTAATAAATAGTCGAGTTCAATTAAACTAATATTATCCAAAATTTCGTAGCAAATGATCCCTAGAGGTCGTAGATTAGCTGAACTATGCTATATTAAGATGCATATTGCTATGTGCACTGTTAAATATGTAGTGAATATAAGTTCTTTCTTTTTGAAAAAATGGAAACTCTGGAGTGGAAAATTTAATGTGTTTAAAGTTATATTTTCGTTCTAGTTTCCACGTTAAAGGGCACATTATTTCAAAAGATAAGTGATCTCAATGCATCCCGTGTTTCATCAACCAACAATAAAACTTTGAAATATAATAAAAATAGAACACCGTGCATTTGTGTGTGGCGTACTCACATATTTTAGGGAGTTTTTGCTAGGGTACTCTGCTCACATGGTAAATAAATGAAAATTGTAGGCACTCTATACAGTGTAGCTAGAGATAGCTTATCTGGCAATACTCTAACAATGTTTTTCTGTTTATGTTGGATGTGCTAGTGATGTATGTTGTTGATCTTAAAAGGGGTGTTTATTACCAGAAGTGCCATGATCCTGATTGCAGAGGTAAAGGGTCTCGCCATAATGAGACATGCCAGAATTAACTCCGTCTAACAAAAATTTAAATTGCTGCAATTTTGGTTCTTACAGGCTATCGATCCCCTTTACGCCCCATCCCTGATAATGTCATAGCTCGTTGTTCAGTATCTTTTAATGTAAAAGGTAATATTGAAGGTTTGGGACACACAGTTGTAGATAGCGATGGGAGTATCATAGACAACTGCAAGAAAGATTGGTGGCTTGAAACCATCAAATTTGCTGATCAGGTAGAGGGCATACCAAAAGCCTTGAATATAGCTGGTGTAAGTTGGATGCATTCTTGTATTAACTTCCATAAGTGCTCGTCAGTTATTTAACCTTTTTCTTTGGAAATTGGACCGAAACACGACCAAGTATTGACGATTGGAGCATTGGACAAAAACACTACACAGTATTCCTTCCATTCTTTATTACTCCCTCCGTCCGGAAATATTCTTCCCATTTGACTTTTCACGGTCTCCAAAGTTGAACTTTGACCATTAATATCTATATTTATACATAGATATATTTTATAAAAATCTGATATTTCAAAAGTACATTTTGTTAAGAATATATTGATATTAAATTTATATCTAATACGATGTATTTTTTTCACAGATCAGAGTCAAAATTTACAAACTTTGACCAAGAAAAGTCATGTGAAGAATATTTTCGGACGGAGGGAGTAACTGTCTATAATGACTTTCATCATAATTGAAAAATAAATAAATGTGGACATACTTTATGTCCACATTGATTCATTTTTTTTAATTTATCAAAAAAGTAATAATAGAACATTAAGAAAGAATGGGTAGAGTATAAAATTGACCAAAACATTACCAGCCAGGCAACCATCACCCCGTTAGTCAAAAACTATATATATATATATATATATATATATATATATATATATATATATATATATATATGTCGCTGTAATGCTAAAGTCTATATAAATACCTAGGGATGGCAATTTTATCCGAATCCGACTTTTTCCGACCCGACCGGAGTATATAATATCCGAATCCGACCGAAAAAATAAATATCCGAAACCGACCCGAAGATTTTAAAACCGAACCCGACTTTTGTCGGGTCGGTTTTCGGTAATTAAATTTGACCGACCCGACCTGTACCCGACCGACCCGATAATTAACCCGAAATAAAAGGCCTTTTTAAAATATAAAAAAAACCTTTTTCAATTAAAAGTCTTTGGCTTACGGGAGTTACCAGTTACGGACTTGAAAAATATTTGTGAAAACTTGTTATATTTATGTGTGTTGTTTCTCTTGTGAAATATTTGTGAAAACTTGTTATACTTCCATGTTTTGGTTGTTATTTGGGACACATCTTTTTTAATATCTTATTTTTTTTTAATATCTTAATTTTACGATGTCTTTGAACGTTCAAATGTTTTTATGTATTGGAATTCTAATTATATCATTACATGCATTTATTATTTTATCATTATTTTAATAGAAATCATTACAAAAAACTGATTTATTAGGATATTGGTATGGTCAGTCGGTCGGGTCGGTCGGTCGGTCAGTCGGGTCGGTCGGTTTTCAGGTCGGGTTAGGCTTAGGTTTTTGTCAAATTCTCGGGTTCGGTTGCAGTTTCGGGTTTCGGTTTAGGCAGTCAGGTTCGGGTTCGGGTAGAAATTTATACCCGACGGTTCGGGTTCAGGCAAAAAAAAATATCCGATCAAAATTTCGGGTCGGTTTCGGGTAAGGGTATATCCGAACCGAACCCGACCCGTTGCCATCCCTATAAATACCCTTCATATAAATATTCTAGAGTATTTTTGTCTTTCAATATTCGTAGTATATGTCCAATTTAACCCACCCCTCTTCCAATATATATATATATATATATATATATATATATATATATATATATATATATATATATATATATATATATATATGCCCCACTAGTATACACTTATATTCATTTTCTTTACTAGAAAAATTTCTCCAATGATAAAACATTAATTTGTGACATATCATCATGAAATATTTTTGTAAAATATTAATTTGTGACATTAATTTGTGAAATATTTTTAACACCTAAAATTGGTTCTTGTAATATAAAACTCACCAAATCCAGATTCAGTATAAAAAATATTTTCATGGATCCATGAAATATTAATTTATCATAGCTATATGTGAAAAATATTTTAAATATCGAACACAGATCGATTATGTTAAAATTCCAAAAAAAAATTGAATATGTGAATATGTTTTTCATTAGTAAAGTTTATGTGATAAGTATTTGTACGGATTTTCATATTTTATATTGTTATTGGCCAACACGGTTGATAGTTAGTAATGTTTTGACCAATTTCATAGTTGGTAGTGTTTTTGTCCTATCATGATTAAATCATCCATATTTTGTGTTGTACTGTTGTTTCTATCTAATTTCCCTTGTTTCTTTCTGGTTAAGGTTTATGCATTCTGCTACATATCGTGTGGATGTGTGCACGCATGTGGGCGTGTGTGTGTTTGTGTGTGACCTCCTTTGTGGCTTAATCTCGGGCTATCTTAAGATACCCAAAGTACAATTTAGTTTGGTTTGGAAACTAGATATGAGTTTCAAAAGTAATTGTTTATTTTTAGGAACTTTACCTCTTATAGTGTGTTGCATAAAAAAAAACTTCTAACTTTTTTTATACTACCTATTTGTTTTCACTAAGAATTTTGTTGTTTTCAATAAAGTAGCTTTCTGCTACTTGCTAGCTTGGATTAGGTGGTAGTTTTCTCACATTATGTTTTGTGCTTTCTACTTGCCATGCCTTTCTCTCATTAATATTAGTTGTCTTGGCTTTTTGTGCTTTGTGGTCTCATGTGTTGTATGCTTCTTTGTGTCTTCTGTGAGTTTGTGTTAATTGCGTTATTTGAGCCGTGGGTCTTTTGGAAGCAGTTTCTTTACTTTCGGATAGGGGTAAGGTCTGCGTCCACACACGATTCCCAGACCATGCGCGAGTGAGATTCATCTGAGTTATTTATTGTTGTAATAAATTTTGCATCAGAATTTTTGTTCCGCTTTTAAAATTTGTAGTTTATTCAATTGTTTTTGAGCTTGGGGTCTCCTAAGAATACTCTTTCTACTTTCTGAGTAGTGGTTAAGTCTCCAGACCCGATCCCTCTCTGTAAGAATTTACTGGATGTGTTCTTAATAATTTATTCAACGACCAATTTGATCACAGTTCACATGCATTAAACTATTACGGAGTAGTTTTTCGCTTTCATGTTATAGCGCCATTAATTAACTTTTCCAACATTCACATAGATTCTTTTTTGTTAATAAGATAAAGTTGACTTCAAGGTTTGTGATTATATATATCCTGCGTAGGACAACCCGGACGGAACGTCAGGAGAAGAAGATGATGAAGAGTGGTGGACGACTGTTGAAGAGATTGCAACACAAACAGAGCGGGCTTACCTGGGAAATGCTTAGTGCTGATAAGTCAGTCGTTCCTACGATAAGCTAGTGTAGGCCACTTGTAAGTTAGCTGGATTAATTATTAGTGACTTTTTTTTTACAGTAGGACAAATAAGTGACTTGTTAATTGTCTAATGTAGAATCTTTTCCCATTGTTAAAGATACATTTTGGCTCAATAACACGGTTTTAGAGCGAGTAATTGCTGTTGAATTCCGTATCATTTTGTAAGACTTTAAAGAATAAAAAGATTAAAAGTGGCCGCGGTCACCGTGAATTAAGAAAAAAAGTGCAAGGGTAAATAAAAAGATAAAGGAAATGAAAAGTGGAATTTTTCACCATATTTCTTCTCTATTACTCCCTCCGTCCTAAATTATAATGCCTGTTCACTATTCACAGGGTCAAATTTCATTCACTTTCTTTCTCTATTTTTGTTAACAATTTGATAAAATAAAATACTATTGTCACTACTAGTTTTGTAGATCTTTTTATGTAGTTTTTTAATGTGTAATTTTTATTTTTTAATTCTATACCATTTGTCATATAAAATGGTTTGAAAATAATTTCAGTCAAACATTGTAAACCGAAACAGGCATTATAAAATGGGACGGAGGGAGTAGTATATTATTCTTGACTGCAAATTCATTTTGGCCAGTTATGGTAGGCTTGTAGTTTTTAATTTTGTTTTTTTGCTCTATTAATGAATTTGTGCATATGTTAGTGCGAGTTTTTTTATCTACTTCAGAGCTCAAAGTGAGTGGACTGATTCTCCTCCCAACTCTATTACTCAATAAAACTTAAAGAAAAAAAATACTTATGGTGTGTTTGGTTGGGAGGACTATTTTTCAGAAAAATTTTGATTTCATTTTCTTGTGTTTGGTGACATTAATGGAAGGAAATATTTTCCAGGAAAAATAACTTCCTTCAATGGGGGGGGAGGAAACATTTTAATTTTAAATTTTAATTTTTAAAATTTACTCCCTCCGTCCCATTTTATAACGTCTGTTTCGGTTTACGATGTTTGACTGAAATTATTTTCAAACCATTTTTTATGACGAATGGTATAGAATTAAAAAATAAAAATTACATATTAAAAAACTACATCAAAAGATCTACAAAACTAGTAGTGACAATAATATTTTTTTTATCAAATTGCTAACAAAAATAGAGAAAAAAGTAAATAAAGTTTGACCCTGTGAATAGTGAATAGGCATTATAATTTGGGACGGAGGGAGTAAATTTTAAATTTTCAACTTTAAATTTTACATTTTAAATTTTAAAGTTTATATTTTAAATTTCTAATTTTACACGTTAAATATTAAATTTTAATTTTTAATTTCTAGTTCTTAATTTCTAATTTTAAATTTCTATTTTAAATTTTAATTTTAAATTTTAAATTTAAAATATTAAACTTTAAATTTTATATTTTCTATTTTTAAGTTTAGATTTAAAATTAGACTTTAGTTTTTATATTTTAAATTTTAAACATAAAATTTTTTTAGTTTTAATTTTTAGTTCTTAAATTTAAAATTTTATTTTTATATTTAGAAAAAAGGAAGTGTTTTGCAGAAACGAAAAGAGTGAAGGAGGAACTCTTTTAAAAAATAGATAGAGTAAAAATAGAAATGATTTTTTTTTTGAGAAAATATTTTTTTTCCTACAATAATTTTCTTTGAAAAATATTTTCCTCAGGAAAATATTCTTCGTATAAAATATTTTACATCCAATCAAACACTACCTTAAATTGAAAATAATTTTGGAATGGGAAGGAACGGTGGGGGTAGCTAACAAGTTACTACGTAATTAATACGGAGTACTTCTTTTCTCCTTCACAGATATTCACTCTTTGAACAATTTTTTTTTAAAATTAATTTATTTACAAACTGATATTGAAAATTATATTAATATTTTTAAAAAATAAGATGAGATAAGAATATTTTATTTTTTTAAATAATCAGTGAAAATAGATAAATAAACAGCATTTATCAAGAAACCAAAATTGTAACAGAAAAATCCTTTAGGGACGAAGAGATTATTATATTAAGAAATATACATAGATAGGAGTAAATTGTCATCAAAATATCAAAATACGGGTGCATTACTTTTCTCTCATAAATAGGAATTTGATAGTGAAAATGTTTGTCTTGTCATGGTGGAGTGAAGTAGCACTGTACTAGTGGACCACCCATCAAGGGTGGTCAGTGCTATTAACCAGTGGCAATGCTCTAATGGCAGCATAGTGGTGCTACAGTGGCAATGTGACAATATAAAATTCTAATTAGGTCATAAAAAGAGTAGTGTTTATATTTCAATAATTTCATCTTTTACTCCTATTTATATACTTCTCTCTATTAGTTTTTTAATAATATTGATTATTTTAGATTTTATATATATATATATATATATATATATATATATATATATATATATATATATATATATATATATATATATATATATATATATATATATATATATATATATATATATATATATATATATATATATATATATATATATATCTGTGTGTGTGTTCTGGTGAGAATGCGATCTTATGAAAGAAATAAGAATGAATCTGGTGCTTTATATTGTGAGATCTAAGGGTCAAGATTATATCAGAATTAGGTGCACCAAAATGGTTTGAAAAGGCATCATGTCGAAATGCACTAAAATCCTTTAAAAATGCATCATCTCAAAATCTGAGTGCATGATGTCATCTCAAAGGCTATATTTTATTCTTATTTCTTTCATAAGTATATAGTATCAACCTATTGAAATACAAACAGTAAATACCACATTGGCTCTTAACCTACCGATTTTTTTGAGTCAACCTACCGATTTTAATTGTGAGAATATAATAATGCGGCTCAATTATAAAGTCTTTGGCGACTAACAAATTGATCAACTTATAACTTTACTACGATAAATTAAATTGATAATTTTCTGCATAACAGGCAAAAAATAATCATTAGAATAGTTGATTTTCTCTCTCCGTCTTATTAAAGGTTTTATGTTTATTTTTTCGCATATTTTCCACTTTTAAAAACAATTTGCTGGCGCTTATAACATGCTAAAAAAATTGGCACTTGTTTGCTTTGTATGAGTTCTATACTTGGTGCTATCTGCTTGTCGTGGGTGGCCCGGAGGGTGTACAAAGTGACCAACAGAAGGACTCTTAAAATTTTAGGGCCATAGATTTTTAAATTCAACATTAATTTAATGCATAAGTGTTCTTAAAAAATAATATAAAGCCCAAAATGTAAGTTTTGGACCGGACCACTTTTATCTTTTCATATTTCGGGACGGCCCTGCCCCTTGCTATATTTTGCTTCGTTTAATTAGTTTAATTCTTCCTTTGTGTGCTCTATGATATCTCTGTGATATTTTTCCTCTGTGATTTTTTTATTCGAGCTATTTGAGCTAGGGGTCTCTTAAAAATAGTCTTTCTATTTTCGAGTAGGGGCAATGTCTGCGTACACAAAGCCTGTTCTCTTCAACTTATTACTTACTCCCTCCGTTCCATGAAACATGAGATGTTTTGCTTTTTGAAGAGATTCAAGGGAGTACATTTTGGTATTGAATTTCCAAAAATGTCCTTTGATGTGATTGGTAAAAGTAGGATTTGATGGGTAGATTATTAGTAAAAAGGTATGATATGATAGGTAGGGTATGAAAAAGTAAGGGGTAAAAGTAACTTTTTAATAGAAATGAGAAGTGTTTTATGGGATAGATGAAAAAAGAAAGGAGAAAGGTTTTATGGAACGGAGGGAGTAGTTTTTATTTTTATTGAAATTAAATTAAACTAGATCACATCAGAAATAACTTTAAATATAAAAAAAATCAGATCAAATGAAGAAAATAAGTCCACCCACCCTCCCCATACCCTATCCTCATGAGATCCAACCGGACTTATTGTTTTTGTTGTTATTGCTTCATAACTTTCAGCCACATAATTTTATTTTTTAATCTTTATGCTAAGTCAAATGTGGAATTTATTAATGAGACGGAGAGTATATTTTAACAAAGCAATACTTTAAACTGTGATTTTGTTGTAGTGATCACTTTATTTCATCTAAAATAAGTAAAAGTTAAATACTCGGTTATCTTTTTGTCATCATCATTTGACACCAATATTATGCATATTGTGTCGGTTGTCAAGAAGTGAAATGTTAAAAAATTATGGTTGAAATTACAAGAAAAGAAATGAGAGGTGCACAAAAACTATTTCCGTTGGTATGAGAAAAAGAGGTCTAAATTTTTAATGGGGACATAAGTACTCCGAATAACGCATACTCCCTCTAGGGATCACAATTCTATCAGAATCCGAGATTTATTGACCCGATTGTACTTAAAATATCTAAATCCGAACTAAAAAAATAAATATTCAAACCCGGCCCATAAAATTAAACTGAACCCAATCTTTCTTGGGTCGGGTTTCGGTCAATATATTTGACCGACCCGACTTGAACCCGACTACAAATAAGCTTCTAAAAACCCTAAATCTCTTTGTTTAATTTGTTTTTGAAACATAGGTTTTGAATGTGTTAACTTATTGCATTTCTTTGTGTTTTATTTTCTATTGTCGAAAAATCTTGTGACATCTCTATTTTATTTTCTTTGTACTCCATATGTTATTAGTTGAGAATTTATTATTTAATTTTTTAAAGATATTCCGTCATAATTATTTTTGATAATATCTTATTTTTTATGTCATCTTTGAAGTTTTAATTTTTTAATGTATTTCAATCTCAATTTAATCACAAATTCATTTATTAGAATTGAAACTCGAATTTGACCGTTACCAACTCGACCGAATATTAAAGCGAATCGGAACTGAAAAAATAGATATTTGAACTCGACCCGACAAAAAGAAACTCGAACCCGACCTAAGTCGGGTCGGGTTTTGAGATGCTAAAACCCGACCAACCCGACCCGTTACCACCATTACCTCACTCTAACAGACTGGCTGTTTCAGAAAGTGAAAATTATATAATTATATACGGAGATAAAAAAGAAATACTCCGTAATGTAGAACACATAAATTTCTTAAATTGAACTTGGAGATAATAAATTTGAACTTCATACATGGCAGTGGGTGAAATGTTAGCCTGACTTCTTTTGAAAATTGATTACTACACGTCTATGACTTATAATAGACGTGGTTGGTATGGTCATCTTTACCTCAGGCCACAAAGTATAAAATTTCCTAGAGCCTTGACTGTTTGATAAGCCTTTATTGTACAAAAGTTTAGGTAACTCAAAAAAAAAAACAAAATATGAGTCCAATCCTCGAGGGCCCGTTGAGCCCCTTCAGAATTAATCTGATGGTCACCTGAGATGGGGTAAATTGATCTATAATTACGGGTAGACTGACAAAAAGTGGAGCTTATACCTATTACTTGCAATGCTTAGATAATATAAAGACAGTGGGATAGAGGTCATCAATTCAGGTGGCTCTCAAAGGATGCATCTTTTATCCATAATATATGATCTTTAAGAGGTTCAATCACAATAGAGGAATCTGATATTTACAATCCAAATAAAAAGTGACATTTACTGACAAGGCCGGCCGTGACATTTTATGGGCCCTGGGCCAATTAGAAAAATAGGGTCTCTCTTATTATACTTAAAAAATGTACTAGTGAGATCGGTATTTGCTCAATGAACCCAAAATGTGTACAAAAAACTAAGGTCAACACAAAAGTCCAAGACCAGACTCAATGCTAAAGTGCAACCCCGTCCTTTGCCAGCCTGAGTTATAGCCATATACCCAATGGCTAAAGAAACATAAGTTCCCTCTTTAGGTTCCCATCCCAAATATTACATGCCACATACTAACTTCTTTCATAATGGCCATCCAAAATCTCACACACTTTTGAATAGTCCTCAGTGGCATAAGCTATATAAATTTTGCGCTTGTTGTTTGCGATGTTTAAATGAAGTTATTTTCAAACGAATTTATATGAAAATTTGGATAAAATTATAAAATAAAATTTATATATTTAAAAACTATATCAATTAGGTAACAAATAATTTAATTTGACGTTACTCTATTATTTTATCAATTAGGTAACAAAAAATGAGTAAAGAAAATGATTAATGTTTAACAATGTAAATAGTAAACAAACAATTTAAATTGAAACGGGAGTAATTAATACACCATGTAATTTCTATTTAATTCTATGTCAAAATTTAACTTTTATTGACTGTAAAAACTCCAAATTGGAGAAATGCTCTGGGACCAGAATATTTTTTATAAACCTCTAACATCTTAAATGTTAAGATATCGTTTTTCTTTTGCTTACCGTTTAGCAAACCAGGCCACACAACCATAAGGGTATGTTTGGATTGAGGTAGGTAAAGTTTTATTAGGTAGGTAATAGAAGGTAGGTAATAGAAGGTAATAAATTAAAAATTGTGTTTGGATATTTATTAGGTAAAGTAAGGTAGGTAAAATAATGAAATTACCTAAATACCCTTGAATATAGCAACAAACGAAAAAATAGAAAAACATAAAAATAAGAAAAACATAAAAAAAAGAAGAAAAAAACAGAGTGAAGTTGCTTGGCCGAAATGGAAACAGTGTGCCCACTTGAAAACAAAGATCCATGACCATCGGAAAAAAGACGTCGGCATGGAGAGGTCAAATGACGACTCTGGATCTGATTCAGGCCGGCAATAGCGGAGAATTGAAGCTGGGATGACATCGCCGCCATCTTCACAGCTCCGGAGATCCGGTAAAAGGGGCCATGATATTTGGTTTGCAGCGCTAGAGATGAAGAAGGGGGTAGCAAAGGGTTGAATCAGTTGAAGAAGAGGTGCGAGTGTGCGACAAAGGAGAAGGGCAAAGCGGAAAAGAAAAGTTCTACCTCCTTTGACAGCCGATTCAGCAGTAACCCATTTTTCACTATTCAGCGGTAACGTTACCTCCTTCTACCTCCTCTTACCCATCTTCCATTTCACTCCAAACAAGGTAACTTATCAACTTTACCTTACTTTACCTCTCCCTACCTCCAATCAAACACAGCGTAAATGACACGGGTGAATGACATCACCTCCCCCACACCAGTCACCACCACCCTTTGTACTGCACATTTTACTGAAGGATGACCAATCCTTAATTAATCGTTTTTGTTTCATTGCTTTGTTTGAGAACAATATTTGTGATTAACAATTTGGATGATTTTTTATCGTGCAAGTTAATTTTAAAAATGTCAAAGCTAAAAGCTATCGAAGAATAGCATTTTTCAAAACACAAATGATAAACGCCGAAGTTAAATAGTTAATGCCAAAGGCCCAAATCTATAGAAGTAGTTTTATCAAGCAGTTAATAACCGCATGCAGCTGTTTTTTTTTTTGCAAACTGATTTGACAAAGAAATTGCCAAACAAGAATTGGGGCGACGTCATCTAATATTAATACAAATTAGCATATGTTATAAGGTTCGTTGAGCGGATCTGCAATTCTGTATTGCCAGTACTTATCAGCAAGAGTTATATACTCCCTCCGTCCCAAATTATTTGCCACATTTGTATTCCCGAAACAAAATATCGAGTTTTTTCAATTCATTTTATTTACATATTGGTATAGAAACAAAAAATAAAATTTACATATAAAAAAACTACATGAAAAGTTCTTCGAAATAAGAATTGTCAAGAATATTTTATTTTATAAAATAACCAATGAAAATGTCAAAATAAACAAAAGTTCCTGCGACTGCTGAAAAAGTAAATGTTGTGAATATTTACGGACGAAGGGAGTATGCAGGGAGAAAAAATGATGGAACAGAGTAAAGCACCTTGATTCTATAATGTGCAATATCCTCACAGCCAAGGACATAAAGTTGACAACTTGATCAACTAAGATTCGGCTTGCTGAGCTTTTTTCCTCTGTTGCAACTTTGGGAGCCTTGGGAACAATATATTGTTCAATTGTCTCTCGGCACTATACTCTGAGGAGGCCTGTAAAAACATCACATTTCACTATCAAAGTTTGAGAAATCTGTCAGAGAAAAAATGTGGTATTCTTGAAGGTACAGTGATAGTGAGTTAAAGCACCCATACTCGTTTTTTAAAGGGAAAGCGTAATGTTTGGACTTGAGTTCCTGAGCATACTCTCAGATCAATACCAAGGCTATCCACACCTATCAGAGCTACTTCCTGCCATGTATGTCATCAAAAGGTTCTAAGGTATATTGTGATCAGTGAGAATAATGCCCCTACAAAATTCATTTGTTTGCCAAGACGACCAAAAAGATTGTCCACTACCTCATGGGGCATGTGTTAGAACGTTTAAAAAAAACAATGATGATAATGTAACCTCATTTGAAATTATGAAAGCTACCAGGAAGTTTCCTTATGCCTAGTTTCTCTCTATAGGACCTGCAATGAACAGTGCCGCGAGGCTGTTGTTGCCGATTACTCCGTCATTTTGAGTTCGATTCAACGGATTTTTGGAACTCTGGGCTTGCCTACAGCGGGTGAATCCTTTATACAGGTTTTATTGCTGTTTTTGGGGATGAATTTTGAAGAAATGAAGGTCAACGCCTGCGCGGCTACTGTTCACTTGCAATCTTGGATTGTTGATTCATGTCAAACCAGGAACTTTTGATGGCTAAGAATCTGAATTTTTGGGCGATTTGTATCCCCCTTTCAAGGTATGAAGGTGGATTCTATAGCTGTATGATTTTGCATATGATTTCTGGACTGGGTGATTACGAGTTTACTGTTCATTTTGCGACATTCCAGACCCTACTGTAGTGAGAATCAACTGGGTTGTTGTTGTTTGCGACATTGGAGTAATCTCTGGTTTGTGACTGATTTTGGGTATAGTTTTGTGGGTTCTCATACGGATGTTGAGAACTTCTTTATGTTGAATTCTTAATGGCCTTGTAAACATGCTTGTTTTGATTCTTGAATTATGAATGGTACTGGTTTTGTTCGTTGCTGCTGGCTTTTTTGTTGCTGCTGCTTTGTCCATGGCCTGTTCGCCTGGGATTGGTGTTTTTGCTGTGATGTGGGGAGGAAATATGGGCAACGCCACGAAGTTTGGTACACCATTTGCCATTTCTTCTGGCTGGACAATGGCTTGATGCTCACTGCAGCTGTTCGGGACTGGAAAGGGCCATTTGTGCCCCTGTGGCCTGCCATTTGATGTGGACAGTGGGCTGGATTGTGGAACCATGGTGAACTGATTTTATGGAAGACCATACCCTGTGAAATGTTGCTCTTGCTGCTGCTGTTTTGGATTCTTTGCGCATGACCTAGGGGTCAGGTTCTCACCTCCTCTTGAAGAGAGGTCTGCCGCAAGAAGACATTACCTGGAGTGTGCGTGTAGCTGCATTTCCTGGCAGAAAGTTTGGTCTTGCTGTTTGCTTTGGGTTGGAAGGCCGAAGGGAAGATGGAGCCAAGTCTTGGCGCATGCTTAGGTCCCTGGTTTTGGTCTCGGTTTCGTTTCCTATTGCTTGGGCTGCCTTGGTGTGTTTATTTGCTTTGTATTTTGCTCTTGATTATGGGCTGATTTTGGAATTGCGCTGGAATGGTTTTGTGGTGGTTCTTGGGCAATTGAAGGTTTCCCGTTGCCCCTGGTCTTTGCCTCATTTGGGAGGTAATACCATTTGATTTGGAGCTGGGTTCTATGTTTGTTATTGCCTTTTGGTCTTGCTGGCAGGCTGCCCGGTGCTCTTCTTGACCCTTTCGGTTGGGGTTGTTGGAAGAACCGGGACTATCTTGGCTATGAAGTGAGCTTCTGGCTAACTGGGCTTCTTTCTCGGGTTTCGGAGGTCGTTTTTGCTGGTTTCCCGCCTATCTATGTATTGTTTCTGAACAACCGAGGGCAATAGTAGATGAAGGCTTGTGGGATAACCTAGTGAACTTGTGCCTCGTCTGTATGAGGATGCTTGCCAAATACCTAGGGGGCACTCTGGCCGTAGACCTAGGGGAGGGGTGTGTATGGCAGGGTGGGGTCACTTTGGAGTTAAGTTGTCCTCCTCGACAATGGTGGACAACTTCTGGTACTCGGGGCGTGGCCCTTGGCATGCCGGTGGTATCTATGGCAAGGATAACATAACTCTTGCTTCTGTTGGATGCAACCATGGATGAAGAACTTTTGGACCGATTTTTGAAGAAGCTTTGTGGATCACCTGTGTGAATGTTTGCGATACCTGATCCTCGAGAGGGAGTACGTATGGTTGGACTTGATTGTGCCACCGATATATACTCCCTCCTTGCTCTTGCTTTGCCTACCGTACTATTGCCGTGATGGTGTAGGGTACTGGAAGCTGGAAGTGGATTCCACAAGAGCTTGGACATGCTGGATTACACTGTTGATTTGTTTCTGAATGTTTATTTTGTACGGCCTGTGTGCCAAGTTTGTATTGTCGATTGTTTGTTAGCCGTTTGGGCTCGTTGTTGTAATATTCTTATACATGCATGAAACCATTTTTATGGTTCAGCATTTCACATTGATGTACCGTTTTGATTAGGGTAATAATAATTTACATTTTACCCATGAAAGCTTATATATGATATTATCCTTTACTTAAAGAATGTGCCCACAATTCTGGGAAGGTAGTTGATGTTTCCAGATCCACTTGAAGTTCTTTCATATTTGAGAGAAAAGTGCATGCTTTCTTGAATATGGAGAAATTGCGGCATTAAATTTTCAAAAGGAGCACAAGATACTGAAATAGAAATATTGAAATTGCTCGTGTAAGGACTGAGGTTACCTCCACTTGCATACCCTTTTGTCGCATGCAGAGAGATTTGAGAGCTTGAATGGTCTTTTCACCACCAGCTTTAAAACGAGACAATATTTTTACTGCCGAATGTGCAATTGCATCGGGCCGAGCTCTCCTGAAATCTTCTATTTCAACATCAGTCTGTAAAAAGCACCCAAAGGTAGGAGGACATCATATCATAACTTAGTTAACAAAGAATTGAAGCCTATTTCTGGGGTAGTTTGCAATTACAAATAATATTATTTAAGGGTTAATAATTAATTGCATGTGAGCATTATGATGGAGCAAGGGGTGCATAATATGACAACAATCATGGCTTACACAATTACCTGATGCCCATGAGCAGAAATAAACTGAATCTTAACCATTTCTAGTTTGTAAAATGAGGTTCCATTTCCCGGGCCTTCGTCATTCTCCAATTCCTCTGCACATTTTGAGTCATCTTGATCTGATCCACTTTTGTGTCCGTGGCCATTTATCCCATCAATACTTGTTTCTTTACAAGCTGAAGATTTTGCATTTTGACTCCAATCCACATCACTGAATTCGTTGTCAGAAATCTGCTTTTGGAGGATCGCGTGCTCTTCAATGTAGGCTGTCCTTAGAATGCCTTGTATTGATAGGCCTACTGGAGACTGTTCCATAAAATCTATTGGATCATCATTTACAACCTGATTACCAAAGAATATGTCAAAAGACTAGGGAACTATGGAGGGTCACATTGCCATTAGCTCAGTTACTTGAAAAGAATGTGTGCTTTGAATATAGAAAGTAATGAGAAAATCACTGATACGAACCTCAACCCAAGCCCAAACCCTTATGCAAGGATGAAAGGCCTAAAGCAAACCAAGAGCAGACCAGTTTCTCTTCACTTGTAGTTTAGAAACCTTTGCTGTTTAATTAATTTCCTACTTATTTCTAGCCATGTGCCAGTTTGTTAGTATTTAGCTTGCTGGTCTTTGTTTTTGCACTCCACTAGGCGCATATCTTTAGTATTCCTCCACGTGCTACAATTCTGTTCCACTTTCTCAGTTAGTATTAAGTCAGTTGTAATTGAGCATTATAAGTGCTCCACCTAATTATTGTTTCAGTAGGGTAAAATCAATCAACTCAGTCCAGAATTATTCCAAATGTTAAAATTCTTCACTTGTACTCATTTTGTTTAGCATCTCTGTTTTACTAATCTGGGTTGTATCAATTTAGCATCAGAGCAATGTTTATCAATCATGGTCAAACGCACAGTACCGCTCCTTCCTCTGACACTGTTACCCAAGCATCCATACCTCCACAAACCTGTCCACCTCCAAGCACCCTTTTTATCCTAAACGTGGAGCCCCTTGCTCAACAACTCTCTCGTATCGTCAATTGACTGGCAGCTCTTGAGTCTTGAACCTTTGGTGCTTGATGTGGCATCATTAAAAGCACAAACTAGAGCTCCGATAACCGGGGTAAACCTACTGGATTCAATCATAGTTTGAGATCCCATCAATGCTCTCATTGGGTTGATTGGGAAGAAGCCCAACTTTCATGGATATCCCACCCTAACCACAAATTTCCATACTCTAGAATGGGATTTCCGAAGTTTGAAAAAGGCAACCAAGTGTAGATCCTTTGGGAGAAAAATTTTTCTGTCATTATCAAACTGTGGATGATTTTAAGAGTTGACACTTGGGATTGCAACAATGTATTCAGAAGGATATGCATTGAATTTGTTGGCATGGATCAGCACCAAAGACACCATCTTATATTGGGAAGATTTAGTCAAAGATTTGTAAGAAAGTTATGGATCCACTGAATTTCAAAACCCAGATGAGCATTTATGTGGTATTCGGCACAGGAAGTGTGCAAGAGTATCGTCAGGACTTTGCCAAGCAATCCTCAAGAGTGAAGAACTGGGTGAAACATTGCGTGCACAGAGTATTCTTAAAAGAGTTGAAGGGAGAACTCAAATCTGATGTCTGGATCCAATAGCCCAGAAGGGTTTATAAAACAAGGAGCTTGGCAATTGAGTATGAAGCAAAACTCGGGCCCATACAACAACAGCCAAACCGGTCCAATAATAACCCATCCAATTGTCTCCCAAAAGAAGCAGAAATTGATCCAAAGAAGAACAATATGGCAATAGCATATCTGTTTCAAGCTTTTCCGGAAGAGATCGTGTTACAAGTTGCCCAGTTTACTGAAGCAAAAGAAATTTGGGATGCTTTGAAGACTCGCTTTGTTGGTGTTGACAGGGTTAAAGCGGCGCGATTACAGACACTTGAATCAGATTTTGAGAATCTAAAGATGAAGAACAATGAATCACTTGATGATTTTGCTGGTAAAATTAGTCAACTTGCAACACAAGCAAACAAACTTGGTCTGCATTTGAAGACAAAAGATTGGTTCGAAAGCTTTTGGGTTCTGTACCTGAAAAGTTCATGCAGATCCTTGCTGCAATTGAACAGTTTGCCGACATTAACGCAATGCCATTTCAAGAAGCGGTTGGAAGATTGAAAGCATTCGAGGAACACATCAAAAGGCCAACTGATGAAGGAGATACACATGGTAAACTACTCTTCACTAAAGGTGAAGGAAAAGAGAAGGTTCAGGAGCACAAATGTGAGCATTGTGGTTGCTAGAGCTTAAACCGAGAAGACTTTGGACGTGGCCGAGGTAGAGGTCGG